CGAGGTCCTGTGCAGCCTGCTGTAGGTGACCCTGCTTGGGCAGGGGGGTTGGACTGGGTGACCCACAGAGGTCCCTTCCAACCGCTACCATTCTGTGATTCTGTGAAGTAGTCTGCTTTTCCAGAAGGAGGTGGGTGTGCTTCTGCCAAGTGCTCGGTAGACCTGTCCTTTGAGGGCAGCAGGCATCAGACAGCCCATAATACTCTCTTTGGAGGAGGTTTACCCTGTGTTTTGGATCTCTGTTTTCAAGCAAAGGCCACAGTTGGTGACTGATGACTGGACTGTTTTACCTCTGCAGAAAGACACTGGAGAGTATCAAGTCAGACAGCGACAGCAGCGATAGTGACAGTGACAGCGACAGCGACCGTGACCGTGACCGTGACTGTGACTAGCTGTCCCTCCTGCCTTCCTCGGGAAAAACTGGGAGCAGCCGCTGCCCTGGCGCCAGGAGGCTGCTGTCAGCAGTGAAACCGCTGGGGGGGCGGCTTCGGGGCGGTGCTGCGGCACTGCCGGCACCCCAGCGCACTCCGATACGGGACCTGCTGGGCAAGAGTACGTTGTCCTCGTTGGAGCAAGCCAGGAGCTGATGCTGGGGGCTGCTGGGAGAGGAGTGCTGCTTCCTAGAGGCAGCTTGAGCAGGACTTCTCTCGGCCCTTCTGCAACATAAACCTGTGCCAGGTTTAATTCATTCCCAGCTAACTTGAATGAACTGCTGAAATACCAAGTTTACTCTGTGTGTAAGTAAGGCAGCACTCATCACCTGTGGTGTTATTCCTCATCCCTTTTGGTGTTTTGGGACAGGCTTTGGACTGCAGATGTTAAAAAGCGATGATTTGTACAGCTGGAGACTGCATGTAATAAATGGCTACCATTAAATATGGCTGTATTCTGATAATCCGTGCACAAAAAATTGTTGATTACAAAGCGTTGCTGCTGCTCTGTGAGAAGGTAAAGTTCATGCAGAATACAGCTGACGAGGTGCCTGTCTGGGAAGACGGATGCCGGCGCTGTTCTGCTCTCTGCCTTGCAGGTACCTGGCCCTCCCAGCAACGTGCTGCAGCTCTCGGCTTGCAGAGGAAGCGTGAGGGGGCTGTTCAGGTAGTGATGTTAAACAGGCACTGCAGGGCTTGCTCCGAGAGGATTAAACCATATTCGAGTGAAAAGGACTTGACAGTTGCTGCTCGGTCTTTGTGAAAAATAAAACCTTGATGTGCATTTTGCTGCAGGACAAGTAAGAGCCCTTCAGCAGCAGGAAGCAGCTTCAGGATAATTCAATAATGAGCTTGAGAAATGACAGAGGTAGAACAAACTACAGCTGAAAGGCTGAAAGTCAGGTGTTCCTCAGGAGCGGAGGGGCAGCAAAGCTGCTGGAAGGCAGCGCGTGCTCCAGGAAGCGAACATGCCAGTACGCCTGTTCCAGGCACGCGTGACAAGTACAGGCATAGATCACAGATAAAGGGTTTTCGGAGGTAGTGATGAGCTCTTCACTTTGCTGTAGGAACAACCTCAAACTGGATTGGCAACTCGCCAAAGCCACAGTTACAGAATCATAGAAAGTTTTGGGTCGGAAGGGACCCTTAGAGGTCATCTTCTCCAACCCCCCCTCAGCGAGCAGGGACACCGCTAACTAGATCAGGTTGCTCAGAGCCCTGTCCAACCTGGTCTTGAATGTTTCCAGGGATGGGGCCTCCACTACCTCTCTGGGCAACCCGTTCCAGTGTTTCACCACCCTCATTGTAAAGAATTTCTTCCTTATATCCAGCCTAAACCTACCCTGTTTTAGTTTAAAACCATTACCCCTCGTCCTGTCACTGTTGTCTCTACTAAAAAGTTTGTCCCCATCTTTCCTATAGGCTCCCCTTAAGTACTGAAAGGCTGCAATCAGGTCTCCCCGCAGCCTTCTCTTCTCCAGGCTGAACAAGCCCAACTCTCTCAGCCTGTCCTCATAGGAGAGGGGCTCCAGCCCTCGGATCATTTTCTTAGCCCTCCTTTGGACCCGCTCCAACAGTTCCATGTCCTTCTTGTGCTGAGGGCTCCAGAGCTGAACGCAGTACTCCAAGTGAGGTCTCACCAGAGTAGAGTGGAGGGGCAGAATCACCTCATTTCAGCAGTTACTCATTTCAGCAAGAGGCTACCAAGTAAGTTTGGTCAATCCATCTTCACTGAGGGCAAGAACTAAAGGAAAGGAGCTTGGCCTTTACGAGAGTTTGGCTGAACCAAAATCTGGTTTCTAGATAGAAATACCTGCCCTTCTAAATCTCCAGAAGAGCAGGTCAGATCAGAAGCGGGCAGGGGTAGAAGGCCACCAGAGTAAGTGCTTTACAGCAGCTTAAGCTGTGGCTACTAAAACCTGTACTCACACATGCATTTTTTCTTGTTTTACAGCTGTATAAGTTAATGAATAGACACATTGATCACATCAATAAATTCTTGCTCCTTGAAAGGAGTAAAACAGACAAATTTTAACTTCTTTGGGACATGGAGAAAGGCTGTTCTTGTACTGGCCAGCTGTACTTGACATTTAAATAGACAGAACAGCAGGAGAAAGTGGTTGAAGTCTTGTTTTATTCAGCTGACAATGTGGCAAATCATTAATGGTAGGTTACAAACATTATTTTGGTTGGATCACAAGCCCGCTTGGTAAGATGGGGAAACAAAATTGTTACACAAATTGTAGAGAAGCTTCCTGAAGTTGGTTGTCATGATAACTCAAAACCAATACAAATACAACAGGTGGTGAAGTTAAATACAGTGCAAGGAAACAAGACGGTACCCGTGCTTTGATTTAATGCTTCCAGCCCCTGCCAGCAGCTTGGTTTGCAACCCTTAGATCATGGGATTTCTTTCCGACACAAACGATCGCTGAGCTGCCTCCGAGCCCACCCTCCCAGCTCACTGCACTTGAGTTGTTCCTAGCCCCACAGCACTGGCGTACGCCGTCAAGATATCCACAATTTGTTTCGTTTCTAGGGTCATTCGAGCTTCGGTCAGCCAGTCGTGCGCCACTCTCCTCGACTCTCCTCTCAACTGGTTGACAAATTTAGCTGCCAGCTCCAGGTCGCCGTGTTCGATGCAATACGAAGCGTAAGACAGTAATTTAAAGGTGTCGAGGTCGTCGGGGCTGAGCTCGGCCGGTGGCTTCAGCTGCTGAGGGTGAAACACCAGCAGCGACTGCAGGTAGGACAGGAAGTACTGATACAAGCTGTTGCGCGTTTCGTCGATCATAGCCACTCTTTTTGCCAGTTTTTGGACTGTGTAGAAGCGTGCTCGGAGGGCCTCCTCGCTGTACACGCCCCGCGTCAGGGACTCCTGCGGGAGAGCTGCCGTGAGGGTTTCTGTAAAGGCGTTGTCAGAACAGCTGGCTTTGATGGCCTTCACCGCGCTCTCCAGGGGTTCTGTGGGACTGTCCCCAGAGGCTGTTTTCATGCAATATTTGAGGGCTTCAACAGAAAGCCACAGCTGATGGGCCTTTCTGGCTTCCTCTTCTGCCACTGCGTGACCTGCAAAATAAGCCAAGAAGGGGGCAAAATAAGCCAAGACTCTGACTTGGCGGCACACGTACGGGACGAGTTTCACACCCAAGCAGCAAAACCCATTCCGCTAAACACCCTGTGTTCAAAAGCGGCCACCCCTCGGCGCTTGATCTGATCTCAAAGCACGTCTGTTCCGCAGCTGGGGGTCGGAACAAGACGGCAGCTTTGGACTCGCGCAGCCGGCATTTGCTGGGTGCTCAGCAGCGGGGCAAACCCAGGCCCTCGAGCTCCGCGCCCAAGTCTGCGTTTAAGTGCCCAGGTTTGGGTAACGGGCCTTAGGGGATCACGACTTTTGTCCTTAAAGAAATGCGATTTCAGTGCTCACTCTCAACGGCCTGCTCGATTCCCTTCAGCCTGGCATAGGCAGTGTTTATATCCAGCGTGAAGTTGTCGAGCTGTTCCTGAGTAAGGCGTCTGAATTGCATCTCTTGTTCACTGAGTTTCTCCGATAAGTTCTGAAACAAAGCGAGATACAAAACAGCTGTTTCTGGTCTGACTAATTCTATTTACCTTATTTTTAAGATACGCTTCCATAAATCTGTTGTTCTTGCTAGGGACAGTGCATGTAGTAAACACAATATATTAGCCAGAAGCCTTATTAGGGTGACTTTAACAGTTACTGCATTTGTGATTATCAAAATTCTCACCTATAGCAAAAGCTTTTAAGACCAGTCTGAGTCAAACCTACGCGTTCAGGCACTTTATTTCATCTCTCCAAGACGAGCAGGCTTCCTTGCCCAGCCCGCATTTCACTCTTCTGGAAGATGGTTCCGGCATCTCGTCCTGTGAAGCGTGTGCTTTGCAAGGGTTCAGCTATTCCCCCACCCCCTGGGGACTCTCCTCCCTTACCTGCTCAAATTCCACCTTGAGTTCCTGCTCCTGGATCTTAAGAACATCCCTCAGGTGGTCGGTGTGGGCAGCAGCCTGCCGCCGGAGCTGGGTCCTCATTTCGCTCTCCATCACCTCTCGGACTTCTTCAACCTGTGCACACACGAGCAGTTGTTACTACACTGCTCTTTTCCAACAGCTTGCCACCTGCTGTGATTGTATCATCCACCGGTGATTACCGAGGGTGCATTTTACAAAGGTGGCAGTGACAGAGCCTGTGTTTCATCGTAAAAAGCTGCTGAGGTCCATTTTTATAGCTGAGCCTTTTCCTGAAGATGTTAAAGAACAGATTTGCAGTCCACAATGCCAGTAACTGGTGGTTACTAGGCACTTAGTGCAGTTATCAAAATATGATATAAAAAAATACAGTAACATGTCAGACTAAACACATGTGTACAAACCAGCTTCCAAACAAAACAGACTTCACCTTTTCCCTACGTGCTGTAAGGCTGTCCCAGTCAGACACAGCTTCATAAAGTGGTAATGGCCCTTTTACCTGATCTTGCATGAAACAGCCATGCCAGAGAGCGCAGGCGAGCACAAGGGGCACAGTGCAGGTTTAGTTAGGAGCAGTTGAACAGCTTTTGGATTTCTGTTTGGGGGTTTTTTTGTTCTTTTTTAAAGGATTGTGTCATTTCCAACCTTCCGTTAAATGCAAAGGTGACCCTTCAAGCAACTTTTAGAAGAGCTCTAAATTAACATCTGTTACTGCAGGGCTTTGAACTAACAGGCTGTTGGTGAAATCCTTAGTTTCCCTCATGTCAATGCAAGTTTTTCAGCTACTGGCCAGCGTTTAATCTTGTTTTCAGAGGCACGTGCATGAAAACAGCAGGCCTGTCTGGCACAGGTGTCTGCCTGCAATATGGTGTCTCAAAAGATAAAACCTCCAGTGCCCAAATTCCTACATTTCTAAGTTGCACTTGCTTCACGTCCAAAGCAGCATTAAAATTCTGAGTTTTCAAGTCCTTTTG